CACATCAAAATCGTGGCTTTTATTTTTAATGTTTAGAAACTGTTATTGTAACAATGTATAAGAGGAGCCTTATACTAAATTTTAAAGCTTTTTAACACAACGAATAAAAAAAAACAAAAGCTAGAAAAAAGTCTGTAAATAGCTATAAAGACGAATAAAAATATTTTGAACGTTTTATCATGTTTAGAAAATGATAAATAAACATACTTAAAATTATCTATGATTGTTCGTCTTTGAATAAAAAAAAATAAAAAAATCGTATGCCAATTTGTTAACTGACGTGTAAATATTTAATGTCCAACTTCGAACGCTCGTGAAAAAATAATTTGACTTTTATTACCATAATTTGAGTACAATGAATGCATTAAAAATGTTTATTATTTTAGAATGTTAACTGGTCGGAAAATCGTCAACAAATATCATATAATAGAACAAATTAAAAAACGGCATACTGGTCCTTATGGTTGTTCGTTTATTGACAGGGAATATGAATCAGAAGTGAACTATGTATTTATATCAGTTTTTACTTTTAAGTGTACAATGTGTTATATTAAAATTTAAAACTAGACTACATTCGGAATATATTCATAATTCAGAAATGAATATTAATAATGCTGCGGTAAATGCTTGCCAAGCTATAGGTATTGGACATACACAGTTAGCAGAACTATATATCAGGATTTCTTGATTTGCCTGCGTTGTCGAGTACTGGTTTTTTGCGTATTCAAACCGAGGTAGCTGAAATAGTTCACGCTACAGCTTGGGACGAAATGAAGACAACCGGTGAAGCAGAAAGGAGATTGGCAATAGAATCTGGTAGCTTGGATGTGGATGGCATACTAATTATTACAGTGGTCGCGGAAGGGCAATGGTCCAAGCGAAGATATAAAACCAAGCGTTGACTCCAAAAACCGCACACTTTTGATAAAATACAGGACAAAACCGCACACTTTTGGTAGGTTAAAACCGCACACATTTAATAGGTTAAAACCTCACAATTTTAAAAATTGTCTTATCCAAAAACCGCACAGTTATGATTTTGACCCCAAAAAGGTCGATAAACAAAAAACGCACCGTAAGAGCGGGATACTTTGCTCCAAATATATTTCTTTTTTAGTTTGAACCTATACTATAGCTTCAATAACAAAGATAAAAATTACCTGTTCGCGTTGTTTTATATGTATAGATGTTAAGAGGTAAGAAAAATTCAAAAAAATCCGAATGTCGTACTAGTGACTTACTTACTTATTCCCAAAAGTTTGGAGCAAAGTTAAAATACATTGCAGGTTACATTGCACAATGATTAAAATTACCTTACTTTAATGCATATAATAACTATTGGTGCAATGTTTAGTGCTTGTGTTTTAACTTATTTGAACCTATACTTAATATAATTTAATAATATATATTTTTTTTTTTTTTTAGTTGATTAAAAGTCTTTTTTCAATACATTTTAAATTAAATTTCAATCCCCTAGATTTTGGATAACTTTTCCGTTATGTATTTTTGTGTTTTTGAAAACCATTTTTTACATGATATAAATCTTGGAGGAAAACTCATAGATTCATGTCCGTAATGTTTGAAAAAATTAGTAATGTTAATAAGAATAATATAAAAAAAACTACAATCTCTGATCTCAAAATCGTAATGTGCTACGATTGATATCAATAAAAAATTTTTTTGGAGCAATGTTTAACCCCTGGAGTAAAGTATCCCGCTCTTACGGCATATGTATATGTATAATTAATTATTTGTTCTCATTATTCTCATAGTTCATCGAAAAAATCTGTATATATTAAAAAATTTTTAATATTAATTTTAAAAAAATGTCAACTTAAAAATGTATATATTCAATAATTTAAAATATTAAAAAAAAAATGTAAAACTAAAAATGTATAAGTATTTCTAAAATTTAAAATATTAATTTAAAAAAAATTTTAAACTACTGAGTAACACGATTCAGTTTTAGAAGGTAAAAAACAATGTACTAAAGGAAAATAATAATTTCTGCTCCATCTGTGTATAGTATACAGTTGATAAAAATACTTTGGTTTGTATGTAAAAGTAAAGTCAGCCAAGTATTCATCACAATGATTACATAAAAATTCGATATTTTTTTTACACGTAACAATAATCATTTCATCTTGTTTATACACGAAGGTCATTTTAGATTCTGAGCGGAGCGATGAATGTATTGGTTTTACAATGATGTATGTTTTTATATTTTTATTTATATTTTTGTGTCTGTCATCACGTTTTGGGACAGTAAAAGTGCTTCGATTTTCTTCAATAGTACCTTTTCTGATAGGAAAGTGAATCTAGTTGGTACTTTGGGGGGTCAAAAGTAAACATTTTCCAGTAGTTTTCACAAGCGCCGGGAAAAACAACATAAAAATTAAGGAAAAACGGGAATTTTTACGCAAAATCGATTTTCCAAAAAATCGAATTTGGTTTTTGGTGTAACTTTAAAACAAATGACCGTAGATACATGAAATTTTCACTGGTTGTTTATATTTGCATTTTCTATACACGATAACATTTTCAAAATATTTTGATTTATTTTGAACTGTTTAGGGACATTTTCATTTTTCATTTTTTTTTAGTTTTTTTTCTAGAAATATCAATAAAATTTTATTTGTTGGTTGCGAAAGCTTGACAATTTAATAGAAGGCTCCTAATATGTTGTTTCAAAGGCAGATGAAGAATATTAAAAATCCTTAGTCACAATTTTTTTTTATAAGCATTTAAAGTTCAAAAATTGTAAAAATATGGAAAAATCACGAAAATTAGCAAATTATTTTGAGTTAAGAATTCGTAAAAAATTTTCTTTTTAAATCTAAGATTTGAAAATGAAACACAAGATTCCTTATAAGATTATCTACCTTTATCAATAAAAAAATCTCTACCGGACAGTCAAATTAAATTTTTATGAGCGTTTGAAATTCAAATTTTTACAACATTGGATTTTCACTCGATTACTCATGTAGCGATTTCCTTATTTTGTTGCAACTCAAAAACGAACAACTGTAGATACATGAAAATTTCACTGAATCTTTAAATTAGCATTTTCTATACACCATACAATTTTGAAAATATTTTGACTCTTTTTGAGCTGTTTATGGACATTTACAGCTTTCAATTTTTTTTAGTTTTTTTTTCTATAAATATCAATAAAGGTGTATCTGTTGGGCCAAAAAGTGTAAAAATTTAATACAAGGATCCTGATATATTGTTACAATAGCAGTTGAAAAATAATAAAAATACATAGGCATGATTTTTTTTTATAAGCATTTAAAGTTGGAATATTGACAAAATTTATCAAAATCTCGAAAATTATCAATCGTTGGAATTAAAAAATTATAAAATGTTCAGTTTTTATAACTAAGAGTTGAAAATTTAAAACAAAGATTCTCTTAAATAATTCATACTGTAACCAAAAAATCTAAAAAATATATAAACACTTATTTTTTACAGACATTTTAATTTCAAATTTAGACAAAATTTCATATTTAAACCAAGAATTACGATTTTAGTTATTTCGTTTTGATTGAATAATATTATTCGTGGGTACTTGAAACTTCTAAAGTGTACTATTATATATCTATGATAGTATCACGGTTTTTGTTGATGTATAACGCGTTATAAGTATCTAATGGATATTGTGATATGATTAGTTTGTAATTTATTATAGGTCAATTTTGGTTTAATACCATAGATATGTATATAATATGTCTTATACATAGACTGACATACCGTCACCGCTCAGAATCGTTTTTCTTATACAATGATATTATATCATTGAATTCAAATTTAATACCATCCATTATACAGTGACCCACTTTGTTAAGGGCCAAAGGGCTTATTAGGCTGGCTTTGGTAAGCGGTTTAGTGGACTGTATTTGTTAAAATGAATTTGACGCTGGTGTTGTTGTTATATAAACTAGATAACATTTCTTTTATTTAAATACAAAAAAAAACAAATTTTGCCTGATGGCACAAATATAAATAAATTTAATACATGATGTTTCTGGCTTGACAGCACAGACAATATTTAACAATGTAACGATTTTAAAGACAATGTGTCTGGCCTGGTGGCACAGATAATAACTTACAATGAGTGATTCTGGCCTGACGGCACAGCTAATAATTAAAACAATGAGTGATTCTGGCCTGACGGCACAGATAATAATTAAAACAATGAAACTCTGGCTTGATAGCACAGGTTATAAATTACAATAAAAACAAATGAGAATATTATGTCTGGCCTGGTGGCACAGATAATATTTGACAATATAACAATTTACAGTAAAAAAGCAATTTATAAAAACAATTTATAGTAAAAACAAATGTTTGTGGTGCACCACCTACCTATTGAGAGGTTATGGGGTGCGTGGTGCCGGGATCCGTAGGTAACCATTTAAAGACAATAAAAAATAACAAGTTTGATCCCGCACACACACAGTACCACCGCTAACCTACTCACAGAAGTCACCTCTCATAGACCACGCTGACTCTGCTACCAGTAATGGGAACGCTGAGCGTTGACCCAACCATCACCGTGCAGCAAAGCAGGTAAAACAAACGAAACGTCAAGGTATACTTTGTGTCATCCTAGATTTGAATACTGCATGCGGTGCCAAACACAGAGCGTGCTGAAAGTGTTCTATTTGAAGATGAACAATTGAACACAAAAAAAATAAAACGAAAATGACAGATGCCGGACAACGTGTGTGCTCATGACCGTCTTGCTCGAGCACCAAGAAGAAAAAAGAGAGCGAAGAGACATAAAACTGCTGCCTCATGTCCGTTGATTATATAAATGTACAAAGTTAGGAACGAAATGTGATGATGACTAGATACTACTACTGATAAGCTGCTATCTCATTTTTGCCAGCGACTTTTGGTCGCAAACAGACCTATATACAATTTATTGATTTACAAAATTATTGGTGGCTGGGGAATCAAATATAAATTTGATTAAGCCATAACACACTTGTAACCTACTGTACAGCAGAGCGACACCCACTTGCCCACCTTTTTTCATTTTGCCAGGTTAAAATATCGCTATTTGAAACAAAGTTTAGAGCGCCCTCCAAACTTTTCGGTAAAGTTGGTAAAAGTTTCCTACGTTCATTATATATCGACTTCCTTATTAAGTTTACGTCATTGCTTCCTATTACTTCACTATTCTCTATGGATGATACCTCTTTCCGTATTTTTTTTCGCGGTCTTTCATGAATGTCATTACAAGCCTTGCGTTTACATACATTACGTACCTCTTGAATTTGAATTTTCACAGTTTCCACCTGTTTATGTTTGTGTGTGTTATTTATTTTTAGTATATTCTTCAATTGACTGCATGTTGTAACCGTAGATGTACAATTTTTAATATAACACCGCCAAACCACATTTCCACTAATACTGACTCTAAATTTTCGGTATTTGAAATCGTCAAGTAATAAGCACTTGCCCCCTTTGTTACTTTCAATAATTTTAAAATCCATTATAAAAATTTAAGATATTAACGTTTTAACACTAAATTATAGACGTAGGTACACTAACCGAATCGAGACCGACTAATAACGAGTGACAACTAAATACTTGATTATTGAATAATACATATCTTATAATCTTATCTTTTCACTATTTTCACTAAAAATAGTGTGCGGTTTTAACCCACTATAAATGTACGGTAATTTGTTATACAATGACCGATAAGCTGTGCGGTTTTTGGCTATAGACCTTTTTAGGGTCAAAATCAAAAGTGTGCGGTTTTTGGATGCAACCAAACCAAGTATGATGCACTATCTGGCGCGGTACGTACTTATTATCTAAATACATTTATATTAAAACTATTTTGAGTTCATCCATTGTACCTATTTAGTATTTAGTATTTATATTATGGTATATATTTATTTAATCAATTTATTTATTATATATTTGTTTACAGGCATCAATAATTGGTTATAGAACCCAAAAAGTTTTAGTTGTCGGGATTCGAAATAAATATTGCATAATTTGTCAAAGGTCTTCAAGTATGACGGATAAAGAAAAACATGTACATACATGTTTCCTCAACTGGAAAAAGGCTTCAACTTGCATGGAAGCAGATGGTATGCTACAACGATTTTCCAACAGCGTTGAAATGCATGGTCTTAAATACAATCGTTTAATTGGTAAATTATGAGCTAAATTGAATTCAAAGATATCATTGTATACAAATAATAATTCTAAGCGGAGACGGTCCCTCCAAATTTCGTCAAATTTGAAAAAAAAGTTATTGTCTATAAAAAAATTACATGTGTTTATTATATCAATAATAATAATGATAATAATTACAATAATAAATAATGTTTTGATATTAAGGTGATGGAGACAGTAGCGTTACTAAGCGGTTAGCCGAAAGTCGACCATATGACTTTAACTTTACAATAAAAAAATTGAGTGTAAAAACCATCTTATGAGAAATTAACATACGAAACTAACAACACTATCTAGAAATTCGAGTTACCCTCTTCGTGCTCGCAAATTTATATTATCAAACATTAAGAGATTTAGATGTGATGTTCAGATGGCAGCATTACATTTTAGAAAATAAATCAATACTACCAAAACACAAAAAATTTAAGGTACCTATTTATAATTTTGGAATTTAGTTGGAGTAGAATAATAATTTATTTTAAAATGGGTATGTTGTTATATCATATAGTGTATAATATTTTGTACTATTGTTGGCCAATTTACCAAAAAATTATTCAAATAAACACGGAAAATAAATGATTGTCGAAACATTGTATATAACGTACAACAAAATCGTTTCTTCTATCTCGAAGGCTTACATTCGATGGTGTACTCTGAAGTACTGGTCAGTAAAATGTACTCGATAACGCGCGGGGTATTGAATATTGTTTGTTACAAGCAATTATATTATTATTATATTATAATTTATATTATATAGAGACTAATTATATTTTATTATAATGAGTATATTATTTTGATTAATTTTTAATTTTTCTAAATTATTAACTTTTTAATGCGTTTGATAATGACCAAATATCAATATAATATTAATGACAAATGCAATTCTAGCTGTCAGATACTTTTATCTAATAATATAATATCAATTAATATATTTACTTATGTTCGGACGTTTGAACATATATTTTAAAAATGATTATATCATGATATTTCATCTTTATCGTAAATAATTATAATATTTATTTACGTGATTACGCCTATAACGTCATCGTCGAAAGTAATTGAATGGTAAAATGAAGTTTAGTGAGTTTTTGTATATTTTTGTTCATAACTTAGTTGACAATAAATATTTTAATTTTTAACTCTTATTATTATTATTATTTATAATATATTATACAGTGATTCCAATGCGTCTGAACTTAGTTTGAGTATTCAGACAATAGATGATAGCTTACTATCAATTAACACAAATAAATCATATACTCAGTTAGTATGTCAGTAAGGTTAAATCAAAAATTGCATTTGAAAATTTTATTGTGTATACTGTGTGGAATATAATAATATATTTTAAAAGTTTCAATAACCCGCAAATAATATTTTTAAAGTGCAACAAATTAACCAAAATTATTATATCTTTATATCAACTAATGTATTAAATGTGTTTGGAAGCGAATTTTAATAAAATCTCCATCACTAAACGGTTTTCCCCCAACAGCGATAGACTTTGCAACATCAAAACTAACAGACACTAAATTATCACATTTTTTAACAAATTTAATTAATTTATCATTTTGTGCATCTTTATTTGATAGTGCACGTGAAATAAAACATTTTAGTTCATCGGCAGATTTTGTAAACAGTGTTTTATGACTAGTTTCAAAATGACGTTTGACAGATGAAGTTCGACATACAACACTTTCTGAACACAGTACACATAAAGCTTTGTTATTTTTGAACATCATACCATATTTGAATTTTGAATGTCCACCATTCTTGAAAGTTTCAACTCTTTGATTCTTCAGAACATTTCATTTTTTTTGAAAGTGACATATTAATAAAATACTCGTATTTATTTATTTAACAATTATCACGATAGTTGACGATGGCCGACAGGTAACTAAATTATAAGTTCGTTAGAACGGCTGACAAATGTGCAATTGTTGTTATCGCAACCGGTCGCGGTATCGGTGAATTTGAAATAAACTTCGTAATCGAATGTTGGGTACTTTGTACTTCTATCGTAGCAATAAGAGTACAAAAATCATAAATATTATTTATTATAACATTTATAAACACATTTTATTACAAGCTTATAAATTTGATTCTTAAAATTTCTCATACTAAAGTTTTAAAATATAATATTTTTTTTTTAAGATAAATAATATTTGCGTGCCACTGAAATTTGGTCAACGTGCCACTTCTGGCACGAGTCCATAGGTTCGCCACCCCTGCTATAAAAGGTAAGAACGTAAAAATAAACGAAATAATATTCAACTCGGGTTTTCAGGTCGGAAACACTTTTATTAAAATATAAAACAATCATAATTAAATCACTTATTCGGCACACTTAGCCCCTCTACTAAGATTGTTGTTTCACTGGCCTGACCTATGTCAATAATTTACAGTTTAATATATTCCTACCAAAATTACATATATATTAAATAAGTCCCCAATTGTAAAAAAAAAAAAAAATGCCCTAATTTTTAAGGATATTTTATAATATTATATTAAAATATTAAAAAAAATTGGGTGAGTGGATGTCGCTCTGCTGTACAGTAGGTTACAAGTGGGTCACTGTATAATGGATGGTATTAAATTGGAATTCAATAATATTATATCATTGTATAAGAAAAACGATTTCGAGCGGAGACGGTATGTCCTTCTATGTATAAGACATAATATTATATTATACTTATCTATGGTAATAAAAAAAATTGAACTATAATGAATTCCAAATTACTCATATCACAATATCCATTAGGTACACCAACAACAAGCCCTGATATTATCATAGATATATATTAGTATACTTTAGAAGTATCAAGTAACCACGAATAATATTACCTATACAATCACAAAAAAATAACTAAAATGGTTATTCTAGGATTTTTATTATATAATTTCGTCCAAATTTGAATTTAAAATGTCTGTAAAAGATAACTGTGTTTATATATTTTTTAGATTTTTGGGTTACAGTATGAACTATTTATGAGAACCTTTGTTTTAAATTTTGCAATCCTTACCTATAAAAACTGAACATTTTATAATTTATTAATTACAATGATTGATAATTTTCGAGATTTTGATAAATTTTATCAAAATTCGATCTTTAAATGCTTATAAAAAAAACTGTGCTTATGTATTTTTAATATTTTTCAACTGATATTATAACAATATATCAGGAGCCTTGTATTAAATTTTTACACTTTTTGGCCAAACAGATAAAACTTTAATGATATTTATAGAAAAAAAACTAAAAAAATTGAAAGCGGTAAATGTACGTTTATAGCTCAAAAAGAGTCCTAATATTTTCAAACTTTTATGTTGTATAGAAAATGCTAATTTAAACATTCAGTGAAATTTTCATGTATCTACAGTTATTCGATTTTGAATTACAACAAAATAAGAAAATCACTACATGAGAAATCGAGTGAATATCCAATGTTGTAAACATTTGAATTTCAAACGCTCATAAAAATTTAATTTGCCTTTCTTATAGACATTTTTTTTTTAATAAAGGTAGATAATCTTATAAAGAATCTTGTATTACATTTTAAAATCTTAGATTTAAAAAGAAAATTTTTACGAATTCTTAGCTCAAAATTACTTTTGACCCCCCAAAGTACCAACTAGATTCACTTTCCTATCAGAAAAGCTACCGATGAAGAAAATCCAAGCACTTTTACTGTCCTAAAACGTGATGACAGACACAAAAAAAAATAAAAAACACACATCATTGTAAAATCAATACATTCATCGTTTCACTCAGAATCTAAAAAAAGACACACATCATTATAAAATCAATACATTCATCGTTCCACTCAGAATCTAATACTAACTTATTTTATCATTAGATTACTGTCTCGGATTATTCGCTTCGTTGACTATAAAATTATGCGTGAATGTTAATTTAATCTTATTTAATACCTCCTTTAATAATCAATTATTAAATAAGTGCCTAAAAAAAAATGAATATAATGTTATACAAATTTATTGATTGGTAATTTTTTGGAAAAATTGTCTTCTTAGAGATTGATCTCAGTTTAAAGTAAAATATTTTTATTTCGACAAATATTAGTAAATGTTCATTGTTCTTCTATTTTATATTGGTATTTTATTATTTGATTCTGTGGTAGTTAATTCTTCTTCTCCTTTTTGTATTTCATAAGGGCGATTGCTCTACCACTGAGCTACCCGACCACCACATAGACCTATGACGCTATCTCCCCAAGTTAACGGGAGTTTACATAAGGTAAGTATTTGGATATCTTGCTTGTTATATTGTAGATTTATAATCTAGGAACGATTAATACTGAAAAGATTCAGTAAACAAAATCTTCAATATATTTTTGTTTTACTTCTTGGCCAAAATGTCTTAAAATAAATAATCATTTAAAGATACTATAAGAAATTGTAGATACTTAGACTATAGTCATAACCTTGGAGTTATATGATCTGTTAAGGTAACTAGGTAACTTATGTTGAGTTGACTTCATCTAGATATTTTTCTGGCTCCGGGCCACCTGTATATACTATTGGGAGGCTTCATGGGGTTTAGGTACTCTCTATACACTAGCACTCACTGAGGAAAGGGTACCATACCCCCGTGCTAGCCCAATCTAAAAATGTAAACATTTTGCTTTTAAATAAAAGATGCTACATGAGGGTCAACCAATGTATAAACAATACGGCCCTCATATAGTGGTTACTGGTTATACATGGAAAAAAAAAGAAAGATATTTTTCTGTAATGTTAATAAAATTATAAATAATTAGTAAAAATATTTTATTTAAAATAAACTAGCAAAATATTTAACTATAGGTGGTTACTGGTTATACATGGAAAAAAAAGAAAGATATTTTTCTGTAATGATAATAAAATTATAAATAATTAGTAAAAATATTTTATTTAAAATAAACTAGCAAAATATTTAACTATATGAGAAACCATTGTGAAATATGATAGTTGATTTATTACATATAAAAGCATTCATACAACCATTAAAGCATAATAAAAAAAAGCATACACCACAGATTAAAAAAAATATATTATGATAAATATGTTTTAAAAATAATAAGTGCATAAATAAGCAGTAGAGTTGAAATAAAAACATACAGTTAAAATACATATTAATTATAAGATAAACCAAGCTCAAATAAAATTTAAAAGTATTTATCATGCACAATTTCCAATGGCAACAGTGCTGAAGTCATATATTGTATTATATAAAAATTAAAAAAGTTTAATTAAATATAAACTGGTCATTATAAGACACAAAATAACTCAGATTAAACATGATTAAATAAAATAAGTTTGTTTAATTTATGCCTAAGTGGATGACTTTGAACATTGTTTTTGGTGTGTCAATTGTTTACACTGTTGGGCGCTCTTTAAAGTACAATAATATTATGATATACATTTTTCGATTCTCATTTCGTGTAATTCTAAAATGCATGTATCAATAACTGGGTGTATAATAGGATTTCCATTTTTACATCTTGATGTTTGTACATATTAAAATACTCATAACACGCTTTAAAATTAAAATACAATAAAAAGCCCACATCATTGTCTAGATAATCACATAACCTTTACATTTTATAAGAGGTCGATTCGAACTAATTTTTTAACCAACGGAGATGATTAAGATTTTCTATGTTACGCACATGTAAGACGGAGAAAAGAAATCTCACCGAGCAATCATATTATTGTTAAGTGTGATAAAAAAAGATAGCGGCAACATTCTTATCTGCCGTCTTTTTTCAACACGCTATCACGGTTATGTTTACATTGGTCTTACGGCAGCCTGGTGAGCATTCTAGTTATCATAATTATAGTTCAAAGCTCTCTAGACGTTCGTCGCGTTAACACGTAAACTGATAACAAACGGTGAATTCGTCATTTCATTTTGGTTTTCGGTAGGTACGTTTTCTTAATCGTTAATATTTTGTTTATTATAATATTTTTTGTCAAACGTAAATGATAAGTCAGTGCGCAACACGCTTAATTACGCCGCTCATAACATAAAATATATTCTTATAGTGTTTACTTGTTGTTATAGGTTTCGTATTATACAGCATATTTTTTACGATGGATCCTGAGTTGAAAGATTTGGATTTTTATAAAATACTCGAAATCCAACAATCGGCAACCGATAAAGAGGTACGTCAATCAATTTTTAATCCCTCATGTATAACTATTCATACTTGCCATTTCAATTAGATTAAAACGGCATATCGGAAAAAAGCCTTAAAATGCCACCCAGATAAAAATCCAAATGATCCGGAAGCGGCTCAAACGTTTATGCGCCTATCTAAAATATTAAGTGTTCTCACGGACACAGAAGCTCGAGTATGATATTTTGTTGATTTTGCATTGTAAATGTTATTTAATTTTAAATATTTTTAGTGCAAATATGACAAGTCGCTAAACGCTAGAACTGCAAAAAAATGTGATTATTATATGAATATACTCAATCTCGAGGTAATATATCTTTATTTTTGTTTTTTTTTTTTTTTTTTTTTTTAATTCATATATTTGTATAGAAGGAACTAGAGAGTTTAAAAAGAGATTTCGAACTTTTAGAGCAAGAAACTGAAAAAGAAAGGATCGGATCATATATACTAAGATTAAAGTGGAAGAAAAAAGGAGTATATGATAAAGCGAAATTAACATCATTGTTTTCCAAGGTAATTTACAAACATTATTTTTTAAATATTTGTCTAATACATTATACAATATTATAGTATGGTGACATATTAAGTGTTGTGGTTCTTCAGAACAACAAACCTATGGGTTTTGTTCAGTACAAATCGAAGACTTCTGCTGTAAGTGATATTAAATTAAATTCAGGTAACCTTTGTACAAATACTTTTCATACAAATATTATTTTGCTAGATAAACGCCAAAAATGAGGAAGTTGGTTTGAAGAGTTGTCCTCTTATTGTGAGTTTTCTCGGAGAATATGGACCAGACACTAAATAGAGTTTTAATCATACTTCTGCTCCAAATCCTAGTACTATATTTCCAGCTTATCAAAATCAAATGACAAATCATGGTTGTAATGGTGTATATTGTATGTGATGCTTTACATATACACTAGCAGCAGTAACTAATAAGCAAAAGTACTAAATTACAATTAGATAACAAGAAACATTAAACCTTGGGATGATAAATGTAGCATTATCATTTATGGTAGTATTCTTGAACATTTTTTTCAAACATTTTATATTGTATTCAGTTTTATACATTTTTTTTGTTCAATAATCCTTAATATTGTTAAAGAAACACAAAAATAAACTTTTAAGTGTTTTGTAGTCCATACATATCATGTTTATTATTTTTTTTTTTCAATTAGTATCGGTACTGTGTGTATACTAGTATACTACACCCATACGTGTTGTCTCTGTTTTACATACGCATTGCTTTACAAATTATAGATTCTGAGTAATCTATATTTATTTATTTATTTATTAAGTATTAAACGGGCAAGGCCCTGTTACAATAAACAATAATATTACAATTATTATGATAATGTATAACAAGAAGAATAGCATTGATAATGATAGTAGGTAACAATAATAACAAGTAATATTAATAGTAAACATAGATATATAAGTAAAATGTCTATGGAAATTAGATGAGATAAAAGACAAAGAATAAAATTATATAAATACATAGAGTGTTTAAACGTTAAGAGTTAAATAATTACAATACAATTTAAATGAGTCTAAATTTGGTGAGCTGAACATATCAATTTTAAATGTGTTAACAGTTTTCATTAATCTATTGCAGGGAGTATTATTTGCATAATTAGTAACTTGTAGGCTTAAACGAAAAGTGTTAATCGATCGCGTATTAAAAGTGGGAGTATAGAAGGTTAAACGGCTTAAAAAATCCTGACAGTCCACATTACCATTCAAAAGCTTATAAAGGAAACATAAGTCAAGACTTATACGTCTGTATTCCAAAGTCTGGAGGTTTAATAAAGATAGGATTGGATTGTAGGTTGTGTGAGGTTCTCTAGGTATGGAACACTTAAATGAGATAAAGCGTAAGAATTTGTGTCATACTTTTTCCAATCTTGTTTTTTTGCCTGTCTGGTAGGGAGACCATACAATAGAACCATATTCACAGATGGGACGTATTAACGAACAATAAATTGATTTTAGAGTAAATTTATCAGTAAAATCTGAACAACTGCGATTAATAAAACCTAATAATTGATGTGATTTGTTAATAATCATGTGAATGTGACAATCAAATTTTAGCTTTGGGTCAAATAATATACCTAGGTCTTTAATAGGACCGTTAGAACATAGAAGAGACAAATTATACAAATATAACTGCTATATTTAATATTAGAGTGAATTTGCCGATTGTAAAATTTACAAGTAAGAATATTATCTAGTTAATCTCATAGGTTTTTATTATATTTTAATTTGGAAGTGAGTAATAACAATTTTTAAATTGTAATTTATTTGTAAATTTTACTAACAATGCATATAAAAATATAAGAATAATTTTACATCAAAACACTGTTATATTATAATTTATAATACAGTAGAACTCCGATTATCCAAACGCCAATCAAACGGACGTCCAATTAACCGGACAAAAAAAAAGGTCCTAAGGTAAAAATTATTTCATAGTATTATGTTACACTGTTCTAGCTGGAAATGTTGGAACATAATAGTGAAGTAACCACTTACAACATTTTTGTATTTATTGATAATATTTACTTCAAAATAATCAAAATATTATAGATTAAGTCTTTTATATTATAGATTAAATCTTTTATATTTTGCCATTTTGGGGGTGCAAAAGTCCCCTATGTACCCCCAATGGTTAGTTGTTGTCTAATTGTCGCACAGTTTAGTCTGTCAATTGTTATATTATTATAAGTAGTGAATTGTTGTGTTCAATGTCTCCAAATAACTTTTAAAATGTCATATGTCAATCCACAATTCTATAAAATTTGAAAATTAAATTTTATATTTTAGTTTCCGCCTCAATATTATTGAGTCAATAATAACACTTTTCCACTAATCTACTACCCGATACCTATTTAGGGGGGGGAGGTGATAGGGTGTATTATATCGAAAAAATGACTTTAGGGGAATAACTCTCAAGCTTTGTAGAATTGTCGGATTTTCATGACTATTTTTTATCTGAAAGAAGAAGACTTCCTACAGTGCTCATCTATGTCTGATTTTGTATTTTATTTCAAATAATTGTATTAAGAAATTTGTAAAAAAATGCTTTTTATCTTGAATATTTTTAGACATACTATAAAGTCTGAAAATAAAATATTGAGAAACAGAGATTGATGCGGGCTTTAGAATATTTCCCTCAAGCAATTAAAAAATGAAATTTGGTTGATTCTACAAGGAGGTATCGTTATTCCGCAGAGTGTATTTTTGAGGACGAAATCTCATCGGCACTGGGTGCCTTAAGAAAATTTGATTATATTTTTGTCCCTAAATCAGTGATTGTTATTACATTTTCTTTATATAATGAAAACTAAATAAATAAATAGATTGAATAAATAAATTGATTTATAACACTATTTTTGGTAGCTAATTTATTTTGAGGATCCATTTTACTACGATAAAAAATATTTTAGATATTTTTCAAACCAATCGTATATAATAAAATATACCTATAACTACCTTGATGACACTAGGTTTCATACTAAATGTTAGGGAGGCACCAAAGCATCTCGGTCGGCGATTATCCAGGTATAATAAAAGTAGTTGAGTGAGGTAATACAAATTTACTTGTACAATACCTTTACTATATCGATAGGCAATCGCTGCAGCTCAGAGGATCGTGTTATTACTATATAACTGACTACTGAAGTACACGACGAAAATTACTTGTATTTTCTTACAACAGCCCGAATATATTATGTATTTAATATATTTACCATTCCATATATTTTAACTTACTTTCACGTATATCACGTACTTTTAGTTTTATACTTTTCTATTTTATTTTAATTATTATGGAGAAGTCGTGTTCTCATTGTAAATTTACTACAAAATTTCAATCACACTTAATTTGTCATCAAAAAAATGCACATCGATTTGTTGAAACATTTCAAATTTGAATACTGTCCATATGCTACCAACTCCAATTACAATATGCAACTTCATCAATCTCGTTTTCTATTGACTGCAATAGCAAGAATAATTGTCAACAGAGAATAATTTGTCTTGTTCGTGGATCAAAATATGAGCTAAGAAATGAGCTGTGGCAACATATTGTAACCGATCATAATGAGACTGTTGATTCTCATTTATGAGACTATTATAATACTTGAGACTGTTGAGGAAGAAAATCTTGTTTTTGAATAGGACAGTGGTAAATATTAGCAAAAACATTAATATAAAAGTAGGAAAGTAAATGCAATCATAAACTACAATTTATTAACTGCAATAATTTTACTATCAATAAATTTAATTTATGGTTTTAAAATATTGAACAAAAATATAGGTATCATAAATACATACAGAAATGTAAATAAAAATATTTAAATGAATAACATATTAAAAACAAAACAGTCTAGATAATATTAGTTAAACCTTTAAAATAACTCATAAACTAAAAATACATTTAAAAAAACAATGAACGTACCTATAAAATTAAAATGATAATTGAATGAATTGAATGGGTCCAGAGGCGTTTTTGTTCTTCGGCGTCATTTATTTTACAAATTCCACATCCACCACATGATTATTGGCCAGTGATGAATAAACTTGGACTCTTGTCCCTGGCAGATAGAAGAGTTGATGCTAACTTGGTATTTTTGCATAAGCTGATTGACGGACGTGTGGATGCTCCCACTCTCCTTTCTCTAATTAATTTTAAAGTCCCCTCTCGCTTAATAAGGTCTAATTCTCCCTTTGTTGTTCCTTTCCACAGCACCAACTATGGTAGAAATAATCCAATCCATCGTATGATGCGTATTTGTAATGAGCACCTATGCTTCTCTTAGTAAGTTCTATTTTGTTGTTGTTTTTAATTTTGATACTTAATCTGATATTACTTATTACTGTTTTTACCTTTGTTTAATTATTGTTTTATTTTTATTTGTATATAATCGCCATGTATTGTTTGGCGTCTACCTACTTATTGTTATAATATTAATTTTCATAACTACAAATTGTGTTGTACTATTGGGCTTTTAGCCCGTTCATACATAAATAAATAAATAAATAAATAAATAAATGAAACAATAATTGTAAGAATTTTGTATAATGTTAATAAAATTTAATTTAATAAATATTTATCTTTGCAAAATAAACAAATATACATTGTATATTATAGAACATTTAGTATAAATTAGATTGCACCATCCCCTATAAGCAAAGCTTGGGCTGGGGAGCAATTCTTATCTTAGAATACATTTTTTTTTAACTGGGTGTCAAATAAGAAAAAAGTAAAGAGTAAATACATAATACCTAGGTACCTACCTATTTAGTTTAATAACATTAATTATAAACTGTATAAGTCATGACTTTTAACATAGCCTTTGATTAATTTCAAATTAAAAAAAATGATTAATATTAAATATAACAATTGGCATAATTTAAGACCACAAACAACTTTATATTAAATAAGTAAACATATATTCATATATTTTTTTTTGTATCTTGTACTATGATCATGATCTAAGCAGATAACTAAATGTTTATTTTTATTAAGTTCCACTAAAGTATTGAAACTAAAAATGTACCTAAAATTATTTACTTTTAGTCCCTTATAAATTAATGTGGTACTTGTATGAAATGATAAATTAAGTAGATATTTATTTAATTAAGGTTCTGTAACTCTGGTAAAATTATTTATGCATAATACATACTCATTTTTAGCTAGTACATTTACATAGTCATTGTTATGTTTTGAATTTGTCATTATATCTATATTAATATTGCCACGTTAAATATTTAAGTACTTATATTTAGTTTGAGAGAATAATA